CCCTGCTAAAGGATAAGAGCGGCACCACCGCAGCTCGTCGGCTATTGACGAGGAGGAGATGGCCTCCGCGCTCCTCCCTTGAAATGCAAAAAAGGGGTTGCTGGGTGGTGGTGATGGTAGTGGTGGTGGTAGTAGTAGTAGTAGTAGTAGTGGCGTAGCAGGCGAGAAGAAAGGAGAGGATGCGCTTGGATAAAGGAGAGGGGGGAGGGAGGCCGAAGGACGAGAACGAGAAATAGAGGAAAAAACTGGGTGGAAGAAGAAGGTGGGCGGCGATGGTGGAGCGGCGAGGAAAAGAAAGGATGAAAGACGAGTTCTCACCTCCGATTCCCCTCTTTCGCCTCGCAAATTGCGGATAGGCTGTCCTTTCCAATCAACCTGCCCTGCTCCCCGTCCCGCATCCCCCCTCCTCTCCTCCTTTTTGCTGCCCAATTCTTCCCTCCCTCGCTCGCTTCCGTTATACTTTTCCACCCTCTTCGCGCTACCACCCCCGCATTCCTGTAGGAAAACTTCAGGCTGCAGCTTGATCCGCATCCTGCCGGCTTCTCCCATTCTCTTTCTCTCCGGCCTTCTCACGAAAGCCAAATCCCGTCGTAATTTTTTACGTAACACGCTTCGCTATGAATATCGATGCCCGGGGAATTAAGGAGGGCACGGTTTTCCGTAATTGAAAGAATTTTTGTCGTGCTGAGCCAGCTGGCCCGCGCATAAAAGGAGGTTCTCGCGTTTCCTCCTTTCTTCTTCTTCTTCTTCTTCTTCCTTCTCCGTCCGTCACTTTTTTTCCCTTCTTCCTTTTTCTTTCTTTCTTTCTTTCTCACCTTTTTTTCTTTCCAGGAAGCGAAGAAAGGGGTGTTTCTCCCGTTCGCGCGACGTCGGATGACGACGGTGACGAGGATTTTAATAAATTAGTGAAACGATCCGCTGACTGGCGACTTTTTCTTCTTCTTCTTTCGGAAGCGGAACGGGATGTTCCTTCCTTTCGTTTCTCCTTTAATTTTTACTCTTTTGGAAAACCGCGCGACAGACGGACGATACTTGATCTCGTCGTTATATTTCGGTTCGAGCCTTTCGATTCAATCGGCTATCGAATTCCTCAAATATCAAATTTTACGATGAAAGTCGTTTATTTGCCGAACCGAAATAATATCCATAATACATCCACAATATACATAAACAGGTTTACGTTTATTAACAGGTTACATCGGTCTCTGTACGATCGGACTAATTCCGTTAGCGACGTAAATTAGCAACGATTAGGAAGAAACGGGAAATCTGAGGTATTTATTTTGGTAGCGTGCCAAATGTTTCGGCGATGTCTGTCAATTTCTGGAATATTCAATCAGCCAAGAAACGGTCGGCTCTAGATGGAAGCCAAGGGAGAATTCAAGTTCGCCACAACATCGCGACGTCTCGCATAGTCTTGGAAGTCTCGGTTTTATCTACATTATTAACCGGTTGAAACCTCACGGCTGTGTACTTAAATCCAATCTAGAAATCCCACCCTTCTAGTCTCCCACCTTACTACCCTCGAGGGGCGAAGGTCGACAGAGACTGGCAAGGGCGATTACCCTCCATTATTCACACGCTCGATTCCTGCCGCTGAGTGATACCTGAGAAAATCTAGTCGAACATCCTCCCAAATTTCAACGATGTCTAACGGAGATGCCTCTCTTCCATATTTTTTTTTTTTTTTCCACCTCCGTCCCACTCCCCTCTCGCGTTGCACGCGATTACGTTCGCGATAGAATTTGCAAGGGAGAATAACGATACAAAACTTTCGTCGAACGGAATGTATTCGAGAAATATTTAAAAAAAGATGGGGGAGAAAAGAGATGTGTCGTGAAATTTCTTTCCCGTCGTTCCTCCGATTAATTTGCTTCGGAATGCACAAGAATCGTAGACGATACTACCAGAAATTAATCATCAGGAATTTTTTCTTTTTTTTTTTCCACAGTTTACAATAACGGCGTACATATATTTCCCTATATATATACACGCTCCTCTCCCCCCCGTCAACGTGTCAAGCAAACAATCCACGAGAAACAGTTAGGTAACGAGTCGTCACGTCGATAGAATGGCGTCGATGCGATTCCCGAAGTTTTTATGATCGGCTTCGCGTCGGTTGACAAAACTACGAGGCTCCGGTTGGCCACCTGAAATAACTGGCGAGAGAATCGCGGCCAAACATTTCGTGTCGCTCCGTGTAAACACCATTGAATACCGCTAAATCTTTGCCCCGTCTCTCTTTCGCCTCGGAAATCTCAAACATCGAGGGGATTCTACGCGAAGTACACCTGAAACAACTCTGTTCCCACGTCGCATCGATCTTTAAACATCGCCCCCTCCCCTTTGGTTGTCTACGCCGAGTTTTAATCCCCGCCGCGCGTCTTTTACATCGCATAATTATTTTCGTTGATCGCGGATCGGCGCGAATTTAAAAGATGTTCGCCGATATAATAGCCAATTTAACAGGACGGTATTATATATTTAAACGGACGGGTATTTTTCACGAAACGTTAGCCGAGTTATTATTAAGCGTTATATACACCGTTGTATACACCTCGCCGTTGAACATTTTCACATCTGTTCGGTTTTATCTTGACGAGTACACGCGCCGTTCCCCTTATCAGTTTTTATCACCGAGAACAGTGGCGTGGCAATGCGTGAATTTCGTCGCCGTTTTTCTCGACTTCCACGTATTTCTCTCTCTCTCTCTCTCTTCGGAATCGTGCATCGTTTTCTCGATTTCATCTTTGTCCTTTGTTGCTTCTTGTCATCGATCGGCCGGGACAATTATGAATCGGAAGAAGACAGTCTCGAGCTCGGTAACGCTTCCTTCGGTACGGCGGCAGACGGTGAAATTTAATTAAAAGCACGCGCGATGATTATTTGCGGAGGCGGCGTTTATTTTGGAAATTGCGGATCCTCNACGGATCCAGTTCGCTCCTCGCGAATCCTCGAATCCTTCGTCGTCCTCGAAGAGGGGGACGATAGAAGTTTAAGAACGAAAATACCACGGTTATCGATATTCATAGATTCGTTCGAAAAGAAACGATCGGGGGTTACGATTACGGGGGGACGCTGGACGAGGGAAATTGGAGGGAAAGTAGGGAAGAGGAAGGGATGCAACGCGAGGGGCGTATTTAACGAATTAGAGGACACAGGGAAGGGTTGGGAACTGGCATAAAAGGAAAAAGAAAGGAAGAAAAAAAAAAGAACGTGCATACGGTACGGGAAGAGAGAAAGAGAGAGAGAGTTTGTGGATTGTGGAGGAATCCGGTTGAAGGGAAATGAGGGAAGAGGGATGAAGAAGAAAGAGTGGTTTCGCGCGAGGGACAGAAATAATGTGAAAGAGAGAGGGAGGGGAGAGAGGGAGGCACGTCGTGGCAAGAGTAGCAGGGACGGGGGTGAAGCGTTGGCTAGAATAAACACATAGATGTTTTCTTTGTTCCTCTAAACTAAACAACCAACGAGGAATCTAAACAGAGGCCAGAACCCAAATTCAATTTGGTCGCCGCCTCCATCTCTACCTTCGGCTGTTCTACGGACGAAAGGTATCCTTCCACCACCCCCTCCCCCTCTTTCGTTCGCTCTGTCTTTCTCACCCCGCGCGCACCCTACTCCGTTACACCCCCATGGCAGCCTCTCACCATTGTACACTTAACGCCGCCAGGATGGTACCTAATATTTACCACGGTTCTCTTATACAGGGTGACCGATCCCACACACGCGAGCCTTTAAACAATACACGGCCGTAGTTTAATACCTAAGTAAGCTTCCATCGAACCAACGTGCGCGGCCAATGCGGAGGGGGATATTTTTCTTGCAAATGACGGCGAAGAAAAGTCGACGTTAATTAATCGAGCCTCTCTTTAACGATTTGCATTACATGTTGCTCCCTTTTTTTTTTTTTTTTACTATCTATCGGCCTTTACCGTCCACGCAAAAATTCTTGGATCCAAATCAAAATTGTCACACTTAACAAGGAAGGAGTATATTGTATATAGTATTTTTTTTTAATCGATCCTCAACGAATTGGAGCGCATCCTCACGCTTGGAACGACACGCGATCGTGAAACGCGCGCACCGATTGGTAATAATAATCGAAGGGGAGGAGGGACACGCGATAATCCGCGGACAACAGAAGGGGAAACGATTCTCCCTGCTCTTCAAACAAACTCCTTCCGAAACTTGCACAGAAGATCGCTCACTCTGGTTATGTTATTTAACAAAGCGTTATAGAAGGCCTGGTTGCGATATCACGTATTCGACGCGATATAGAAGA